AAATACAATGAATTTTTTTTTACACTGTATACATTTGTATACAGTAAGTAGGCTAAATGCCCCTGTGTGAATTCTGGGTCCTCCCCCCTAACTTTTACATGCATGATCATGTTATCTGCAAATAGAAATGGTATTATTTCTATCCTGTTTTACACCTTTCCTTTCTTTTTCTTGCCTTATTGCATTGGCCAGTTCCTCTAGGTCAGTGTCAAACAAAAGTCATATTAGGAAGGCATACTTGTCTCATTCTTGATGTCTAGGGAAATTGTTTAAAGAAGTCATTCACAAATTTGATATTTCTTAATACCCTTTTTTCCCTCCTGTTAATGCCCCTTTTCCCCTTCTGTTAATGCCCTTTTTTCCTTCCTGTTAATACCCTTTTTTCCCTCCTGTTAAAACCCTTTTTCCCTCCTGTTAATACCCTTTTTTCCCTCCTGCTAATACCCTTTTTTCCCTCCTGCTAATACCCATTTTTTCCCTCCTGCTAATACCCTTTTTTCCCCCCTGTTAATACCCTTTTGAAGATAATTGCTATTAGATAAGGGGGTTCCCTTCTATTATTAGTTTGCTGAGTGGCCTTATTTTTGATTTGGGATTTGTTTTCATGAACTTGTACAGAGCCATATCAAAGTCATTCACTCTTCTATCAAGGTACTCCTACAACTTCTAATTACCTTTTTAAATGTAAAATAATTGCTCAGATTATTTCTGGTATAAATATAAGACGTATGAGGCTATATTAGTGATATGAGGGTGCTTTTAAACATTTGTGGGAAAATACCATTATCTTTCCATATGATTTCTTCCATGAATTTATTGAACCATCAACACACACACACACACACACACACACACACACCAAGATGTACAAAATATATCTAAAATATATTTACATTTTTGGCTCTCATTCAATACATAAGGAATCACATAACTGTGTCTGAGAAACTGAATAGCCAAGTTCCAAGATTGGGATTCCAGCTGAGCTGTGTGTTATTACTTTGCAGGGAAACAGGCTGCATTAGATCCACTCATCCTGCTGAACCTCTTGCCAAACTCCACCGACAAGTATTACACTTACAATGGCTCGCTGACATCTCCTCCCTGCACGGACACTGTTGACTGGATTATTTTTAAAGATACAGTCAGCATCTCTGAAAGCCAGGTAATCTAAGAAATTCAAACCCTTGCCAAAATATGAAGCACCTTCAAGTAGAATTCTGTTCTCATCTTCAGAAATATCTATTTTAGAATACTCACCGGTGCCTTTGCCGCAGATAATGTTACATGGTTTGGTCTTCCCTGCAGTTGGCAGTTTTCTGTGAAGTTCTTACAATGCAGCAGTCAGGGTACGTCATGCTGATGGACTACTTACAGAACAATTTCCGAGAACAACAGTACAAATTCTCCAGGCAGGTGTTTTCCTCCTATACTGGGAAGGAAGAGATTCATGAAGCAGGTATGTATGGAATGCATAGTTTCTACAGCTCTCTGAGTGTTGCAGAAGGTAATTGTGTTACAGTGGGAAGTGTACTGGGCTTTGATTTTTAAAACATTTTGAGGATTACCTTTGCGGCATTAGATAGGCTATTTCGCTTCTCTGAAACTCAGTCACCACATCTTTAAAATAACAACGAAAAAAACAGGTCCTTCACTGAAAAGAGTTTGAACTATTGAGATAGATGATATGTCAATTGTATGTCATTAAAACGGCTTTTTAAAAAGAAACGAATAAAAGACCCAAGACCCAGGAGAAAAGGGAAAAAGAAGGAAGGAACAAAAGAAAGAGAACCCAAAAAACAAAACCATGGTGTGGCCCAGGCACACCTTAGGCCTCAAAGTGACGTCCTTGCTTTTCAGCACTTTCTCTTCTCTGTGACAGATTTGCACAATCCAATACCTCGTTTTCTTTATCAACTGCTGCATCCATAGGTATTGACTGTGGATCCAAGTAAATTGAAATCTTTGACAACTTCCAAAACAAATGTCCTTCAAGTATTGTATGATGCCATCATTATTAAATAACGAGAACAGACAAGTGTGTGGGACACAACGTTGATGAGTAGCTCCCAGGGGAAAGTATTTAGGAAGCAGGGTTCCTTGTGATGGGAATGATCAGTGGGCAATGATGGTAGATGGTGTTACACAACATGATTAATGCAACTGACATCCCTAAATCGTACATCTGGGAAAAAAGTAAAAATTAGCAAAAGATGTATTCTATATATTTTTACAATAAAAAACTCTTTCCTTTCCCATGTGAATAACCCCATTTTTCAGATAAGAAAAACATGATTTTTTAAAGTACATAAAAACAGGTGGCCAAGACACATACACTCCTCTAAGTCCACTTTCAAATCTACTTTATGGAAGTTATCTGCGCTCAGAACTATAAATAAAAAGATGTTCATAGCTTGGGGGTCAGGCGGGGGACTGTCACTTCAGATTGGAGAATCCAAGACCAAACTTCTGCCTTCAAGTTGATCCCCACTCCCGGCGACCCCCATAGGACAGGCTCGAACTGCCCCTCTGGGCTTCCAAGACTGTAACTCCTGTCTGGAGTAGAAAGCCCCGTCGTTCTCCCTCAGAGCTGCTGGTGGTTTTGAACTGCCAACTGCAGCCTAACGTGTACCGACTAAGCCACTAGGGTAAACACCTACATGGGAGAACCCCATTGGAGGTGAGTCTCGATGCAGGAGTTGGGCTTTACAGTGCTCATCTTGGTATGGGCAACTCTCGAGCTCTTAGTAGACAAAACCAAACTCACTGCCACTGGGTCGCTTTTGACTTCCAGTGAGCCTCTTCTTCAGGGTGGAACTGCCCCCGTGAGTTTCTGAAACAGTCTTCATGGGAGTAGACAGCTTCAGCTTTCTCCCTAGGAGGGGCTGGTCATTTCAAACTGCCGATCTTGAAGTTAGCAGCCCAACACATGATGATTATACCACCAGAGCTTCTAGTATAAGGTGACCAGATTTAAAGCAGGACACCATTGACCGGGGGTGGGGGTGGGGTGTTCTTAATTTAAAATTTGGTTTATATGGACCAAATAAACCATTCCCTAGCTTGTCATGAATTCTGTCCAAAAATCAGGACTTTTTTAGAACGCCAAAAATCGGGTCTGTCCCGCCAAAAGCGGGACGTCTGGCTACCTTATCCTCGTAGGTACTGAAAACAAATGTACTAACTTCCAAAACAAACAAACAAAAAAGTTTTGAGCCATTTTCCCTTTCCTTCTTTGGGGGAAAAGCAGTTTATCTTTGTCAGGTCTAAGTAGTGGAAGCAGCACGGTGGAAAGTCTCTGGAAGGCCCTGTCATTTGAAGCTACCATGACAGTTGGACCTCTTCAAAACTGTCCAGAGGACACAGTCAGAAATTTCTGCTGACTTCTCCTTTTCAGTCCATATTGAGGCTATGCTGGTTTAGGAATGGAATCAGTGAAGTGGCCCTTGCTTTGAGGACTTAAAACATTTCTGAGTAGATGGTCTTCTTTGATCTCAGCACTGCAGTGAATTTTTGGCCATGTATAATATGTAATTTAATCATCATCTGCTTTTGAAGCTCAGGCATTAAAAGAGCATGCTGTTATTGTTTCAATGTGATATTTGAGTGAGCTGTTTATCCTCTCGTGAGCAACAAAAAAAGAGAGACTGCAAGAGAGACAGCAGTGATGAATAGCCGCTTTTCATGTGACAATAAATTGTCCCCAAGTGAGAAAAGTTAATTATATTCCTACCAGCAAGGCTACATACTATAGCATACTGGCTGATAAATAACAGGAGTGCAAGAAGGAAGAAAATCCTTTAAAACGGATTGGCTAGTGATTGATTGTACAACACTTAATATGACCGAACTATTGAATTGTATGATGTCTGGATTATGTTCTAATAAAATGGTTAAAAAAATAGACCATCAATTGGTACAAAAACATAGGATCTAACCATCTCCTTTTCTAAAATACAATAGACCAAATCAAATATTAATTTTGTCATTCCTTTTATCAATGATATTTTATGGAACTCCTTCCATGGCTCTCGTTGCTTCTAGAGTAAGATGCACCGTGCTATTCTTTGCATGGCACGCCCTATGACGAGACCGTACTTGCCTCACAAGCTCCTGTCCTGCTAGTACTCTGCTCTCCCACGAGGTCCTCTGCGGATAGGAGGCCGCGTTCACCCAGGTTGTACTGGGGCACGCTCTTCCCTCTTCATGGTGTGCCCTTGCATTTTGTCTTCACTTGGTTGCATCCTTTTCATTCTGAAAGACTCCAGCAGGGCATTGCTTCCACTGGGAGGGTATTTCTAACTCTGTTTTTTCCCCAAGCAAATGTGGCTCTGGCCTGGGCACAGGGCTGTATATTCCAGGAGATAACATGGCCGTCGACTCTAGGTCAATGAGGTCCAGTCTAGAGTTGAGTGATTTGCTGTGCACATACACCGGACCTGTGTGCCCATTTTTCCTTCTAGGGACCAGAGTTGGGTAATTGTCCATATACTAATCTCCCAAGGGGACTCTGAGCTCCACGAAGGGAGGAACTAAGTTTCATGATTCCCTCTGTTGTTGTGTCCAAATAAATTCTCCATTTACTAAAGAAATGCAAACTCAGTGACCGAAAGAATCCAATTCTGCATTCTAAGAACAACAGGGCAGTTTATACCCAATGGGTACCTCCTGCAGGTGTGTAAACCCATAAGTAGCTCTAATTTCAGAGAGAACGATGTTTCACAGCTGTGAGAGGAAGCCTCAAAGTAATATTAATAACACAGCTGCACTGGCTGCCATGTATTGGTGACTGTCCTCTACCAGGTATTGAACTGAACTGCACATCACTTGGTCTAAATCTTACATCATGGTCATGAAATCAGACTTATTTCCCTTATTTTACAGACTAGGAAGCAGATTAAGTGTCTTGCCCAAGTTCGCACAACTAGAACGTTTGGAGTCAGTATTTGAACCCCATTTCCCCGATTTCAGAGTCTTCCAAATTTCTCTTCAGGTTGCTTTATATTCACAGCTTTCTATCTCTCACTGACCTTGAGTCAGTTCTGACTTATAGTGACTCTAGTGAGTTTCCAAGACTGTACATGCTTATAAGAGTGGAAAGCTCCCTCTTTCCACTAGTGGCTGGTGACTTCAAACTGCTGACCTTGCTGATTGCAGCCCGACTCATCACCGCTGCCCCACCAGAGCTCTGGCTAATGCATGGTGGCTGTGTAATGTGAACCAGACACTGCTAGGCCTCAGGGATGTGGTGGTAAATGGGAGCAGCCACAGGGGAGCAAATAACAATGAGAAAGTATGATAAATAGCACCAGGTCTGTTGTTGTTAGTCAGTGCCATTGAGTTGGCAACCTTGTGCACAGCACAACTAAACCCTAGCAACCCTGTGCCATCCTCACAACTGTTACTGTGCTTCGGCCCATTGTTGCAGCCACGGTACCACTTCACTCTGAGTTTCTCACTCTTGTTGGCTGACCCTCTACCAAGTGTCATGTCATTGTTCAGCATGGAAACATGTCCAGAGTACCGGAGGTGAAGTCTAGCTGTCCTCCCTTCGAAGGAGCATTCTAGTGGTCTCTCTGGCAAGGCCAATTGGTTTGTTCTTCTGGGAGCCCATGATGCAGGAAGTGTTCCGTATTCGTCAGCAGCACAATAAATAACTCAAACGCATCAATGCCTCGTTGCTCTTCCTTGTTCGTTGTTCAGCTTCCGGGTGCTGTGACAGGTTTTATGGCAGCTTGGGTGGTTCAGGATTCTCCCGTGATGTGATCTAACGTAGTGTGGCCAACTCCATGATGGGATCTCCGGCGAAGCAGCCAAGCAGTTAAAACAAGGCACAGTCTTGATACATTTGAGGGAGGTTTCACTTACGGTGTGGCCCTACTGAGTATAGACTAACCGTGTGCAGAAACTAACTCACTTCTGCCTTATCTGAATCCTGCATCTGGTTCCTAGACCTCTTGTTACATCACCTGCCGACCCCAGGAGCCATCAATGGACTGGCAACCTTGAATTCCTTTGGCCGATCTCAGATTCATTCAACTCTGCAGCCACCAGCTTGTGGTCTTCCCCCTCATCTTGATTCAGTTAGTGGCGCAATCCGACTGCCCTCCCACAGCTCCTCCTAAGATGTATATTGCAGCCCAATTTCTGCCTCTATCCCTTTAAAATAAAAACTGATGATCTAGAGATATGACACTTGAAATAAATGGAATTTAGACTTGGGGTATTTGGTGTATCCTAAGGTGACATGCTGGCTGTTTAGGTTCCATGATAAATCATAGGCGAAAGATAGGGATTTTCTTGAGTGGAGCAAGTGAGATTCCATTTAATCCCCTTGGACGACATGTGTACATTGTTACAGAACTTCATATCCTAGATGCAAGACTCTCTTGATTGTCAGAATACTCATACTTTGCTTATTATCTCTTATGGCTCTATCAAGTCTGTAACTTGATTCCT